CGGTACTGAGTGTAGATTAATGAGAAAAAAGATGAATTTGAACGATTATAGTATCAGGCTGCAACATAACAAAACTGAAAAAAGTGAAGGGGATCTGAATATTTTCCGAATGCACTATAATTTTATTTGACAAGATAATTTTGGTTATAATGAAATTTGGAATGCTGTAATTTAATAAAGTCCGACAACAGAAAGATAGAATACACAATAAACTAGTTATTTGAACTTATTTTAATTCAGTTTTCAGAAACGAACATAAAACATCAACATCTATACTGAATTTGAAAATCAAAAGATATTCTTTTAAAAAAAGGAATTAAAAAAAAAAAACATATACAACTTCCAAAATCAGGTTTGCATTTTTTAGCCTTTTCTTTTTAATCTGATCAGTAAATACTGTTGCCCAAGTTGTTGAAAAACTGGTTACTCCTTTGTGCTACAGATCCAAAGCACTGTAATTTTCAATATTAATTGATTTTCAATTATGTGCTCTGCAGAAAAGAAGGGGAAAAAAGTGGGATTAATTTCATGGCATTGTTAAAAGGTACATTTTAAAATAAATAAAAGTAACTCTTACTCGTAAGATTCCCAGAATATTGTAGTTAACCTGTTACTCACAGATTTAAAATGTAGATCTATAACTGAAGTTTCCTTCAGGCATTGTCCAGTCCACAGTTTAGAGCAGCTTTCTATATTGACTTGTGTTACCGAGTACTGCACTGTGTTTATACTTGTGTTAATGGATGCAGTATATGCAACTTGTGTGCTCAGAAATCCATTTAATGAAGGGCTTGTTTTTGAACTGCTCAGTATTTAAGCCATTCATTCTGACACTTCTGTCCATTATTATTGAATCAGGAATGGTGTTCATGACTGTAAATTTATTTCATGGATGCAACTATATACTCCAAAAGGTGAAAAGATCTATTTTCAATGCTTTTTCCTTTTTTTTTTAAACAAGGAATCATATGTTTCTCCACATGCCCTTGTGAAATGTGAACCTTCCAAGCTGGATACTGCTGCATATTTTCAAATATCCCTTCTGAAAAACAGAGTAATGGGAAATCAAACTGCTGTGAAAATTCTTCCAACTTGTAGAGAATGAAATCTCCAGCTAGAGCATAAAGGCATACAGATGTGCCTGTCACTCTTAGATCAGAAAGCCATGAAAGGTTTTCAGATCTTTTGATTCCAAAGAAACACAGTACAGTTTCAGGACTAAATATTTATGTTCCAATAAACCTTACCTACCAGGTTTATTTTCATTACTATTACACTGTCACTTAGCAAGGAATAAAAAGACAGACAGACAAGCTACCACATTCATATGCCATCAAACAGAGTAATACTTGAAACTATCATTCCCAGTTCTATCTCAGAGCCCAGCTTAGGAACCAACTTACTGCTACATGCTTCTATTGATGCTTCTGCCTGAGTACAGATCCTTGTGCTCAAAGTCAAGAACATTAATACAACAATGTATCCTGCCTTCCTTTAACAAGATGATTTACAAAAAGGCACAGATGGGTATATCTCTAAAACTGTAATATCACACACAAACTAAAACTAACACACACACACACATCAACAAGCAGGACAACACATTTATGGAATATCTTCATTTTCCTAGGTCAGCTGAAAACCTCCTTATAATGATGTTTCAGCAATTGCCTAGGAAGAAATAGATACTTCCACATGCTTTTTCATAATACAGAGAAAGTGGAGACTAGGCAGGCACAACAGCCTTAGTCATATTCCTACCACATATAGCATTCCCTGCTAACAGTTGGGATAATACTGGTCAGTTTTAGCACATGTTGGTTAGTATGTCAAAGCACAAGCAAAGCCCAGTTTTACTTCAAGCATACTAACACACTTGTATGGAAGCTAGGATCTCTATCTAGACCTCCCTTGCAAACCATCGCATTGTTGCCTGCATCCCACCAGTGCAGAGTTACTTCAATATACTCAATATATTTAAAGAACAAAATTTCCACATGGTAGAAGGAAGGTTGGTTTGCAAGGATAGCAATATATGGGGAGATACAGTAAGTGGTGTTAGTGTAAGCAACATTTAGCAATATTTCATTCTCTTCTATCTTGTTTATTCAGCTTACTGTTTCTTACTCCTTTCCTGCACTTTGAATAAAGTTGCTATCACAAAAGGAAATATGATGGCTATGTATACATGTATTAGAAACAAATACTTATGACATCTTTAACATACTTAGATTTCTTTATATTCTGTAAAATTGACTGACATTGTGATCACTGCATTGCCTTAAGCATATTTTTATAACCAGCTGCACTACTTCAAGTCATACTCACTGGCTAACAGCTCAACATGAGAAATGTGAAAACTTTTCAAATAACAGAATAGGGGAGAGTGATAAAATGCTTGTTTTTGACAGTTCTGTATATGCATGTGTTAAACAGGTTTGCAGAAATCTTGAGTTTCACTAAACTGTTCCCCAGAAACATTTATCAGGATTTAATTGATATTTAAAAAACATTACCTTCACTACCAGTTGGGGCTTGGGCACTTTCATTAAGTCACAGAGATCATTCCTCTGCTTCCTCAGAAATGGCAAGTCTGCATCCCTGTTTGGAGAGGGGGGAAAAGCAGGTATAAGCAACCAATTCTTCACTGCTTCTAGCATCCCACCCATTTTGTCACTGCAAAACTAATCAGCCATCAATTAATTGTGATTGCTATTGATAGTAAGAAAATTGGTATCTCCATCAGAATTGCAGGAGAAAGGAAGATGATCTTTTTTAAAGTGAATTTCTGTTCTCTGAACCTCCTGAATGGCATTTACTGTATTTAGAACAATATTGCCTTCTAGAACGCGTAGGCAGAATCAGCTAATTCCGTTCCCATATGAGGAGCAAGTTTGCAAGTTCTGCTCCAAATTATAAGAGAATAAACAGAAATAAATCAAAATGTGCATACAAAGAACAGACAAGAACGGCCACATATAGTGAAGGGAGAAAAATTCCATTTTCAAAAATTCAGACACGAATAATTTTGCCTTTGCTCTTTTTACTTCCATCATGGGAGTAAAAGGCATTTCTTCTTGCACTGGCACCAGATAAGAAAACCACTTATACCTAGAGAAGAGTCGAATCAGATGAGCTATAGATAAAAATGAAGCTAGATATAGATTACAACCTTTTGTTGGTTTAGTTTATAGACTATCTGAGCTGTGGATATCCTTGTATCCTGACACCTATTTTCTACCTTTACTGTGCATGTTCCTGTCTCAAAGAATAGTTGTTAAGTAAAAACCCACAAGAGTTGTATTTCTTTTTGTGTTTGTCCCATTGTCTTCAACTCTCACTTGGTTCTTCAATCTTAATCTATCTCAGATTTGTATCTACTTCTTAAGCAGTACTTTCATTCTAACAGCTGGAGCATTGATGTGAATTCTGTTTCCTTGGATCTGACAATTTTAATTCTCAGAATACCCCATGCACCATTTTCTAGTCAGAGGGTACAATCTGGCTGCCTCTTTTAATGACATATGTTGGGGGAGGGCCAAAGAATTCAACTCATTTTTTAAATTTTTTTTTTGGGGGGGGGGGGCTTTTGAAGGACTTAAAGGCTGTCCAAGTTTTGCCTGAAATCCTGAGTTCACATCCCAATTTCTGAGCCAGATTTTTCTGTGAGCTAGTAAGCTGGGAGGGAAGATTCTAGAACTGAACTGGACAATAAAAGAAATGAAAGAGCAATATTTTAAAATCATCTTTCAGTGGCCTGTATATGGTTTCAGCTCCTGCTAATTCTTCTATACATAGAAGTAGTGCTCTGGAGATGCTCACTCAGTTACTCAAGCTCAACTGTGAGATCCAGGAGGAGGTATCAACCCAAAACTAAAAAAAAAAAAAAAAATCTGTCTTCTGCCCCCCAAATCGAGGAAAAGAGACTTTAATCTCACCTACCCTCAACATTTTCATAAGTTACATTCCATCTGGCCTCTATGAGGAAAAGTTCTACATCAAATAGTTGTGGCTTCATCTATAAAACCGCCTTACGTAATAAAATCTGTTAGTCTTTGAGACGTGTGCAGCATTTCCAGAAGAGGGACTATTTGTCCTGGGCTAGATATGTGACCCTACAAACTGCTTCAATGGTGAAAGAAATGCCAAGACAATGGAGGAAGAATCAGCTACTACAATGTTAGTCTCAGCTGCCCACTACCCAAAAAAAAAAAAAAAGCTTTATACTGAATTGCATACTATTTTGTAAGCTGCTTCAGGTATCAGCTAAACTACAACATGAGGTTTATAAACAAATCCTGTCTCAATTCATTGTTTCAAGTTTGTGTCAGTTTTGATTCACATAAAACTTCGTAAGTCTCCAATGCAATACATATTTCTGGTATATTCTTAAACGCTATAGGCTGGAAGACAGCTGAAGCTCACAAGTACATTTAAGGTTAACTCACCAGTTAGTGTCACTCAGAATAGTCATGGCATTTTCTATAACATCAGGTTCAGCGATATCACTGTAGGTTATCAGCATTTCATAAACCTCACTAGCAGTTGTTTTTCTTATCTAGAGAGCAAAAACAGAAAATTGCTCAAAAGAAGGTGACTATATTTGGGAAATCAAAAAGTGGGTAAAAGAGTATTCAGAGCCTAAATCAAGAAAACTGCACATAAGCCAAGGTCTATGGTGAGTCAATTCCTTTCATTCCCCAAGAACTTCTAATAAATTCTCCCCTTAATCCCTACCCCAGTGTCTATTTCCTGAGGCGGGGGGAGGGCACGGAATCTACTTTTCAAAAATACAAAGATCACTCTTGATTTGGACAGCTATTAAAGGTATTCTATAAATACATTGAAGATAATGCTATTCACAGTTTCTAATCATATAGCCATCTCCAGCATTAAAGGAAGTATCCTAAAATACCAGTTACTGGAAAATACAATTGGGACAATACTATCCTTGCACCCAGTTTATAAGCTTATGAAAGCACTTGGTTGTCCACTGAGGAAAACAGGTACTGGGTAGATAAGCCTTTGGTCAGATTCAGCAGAGCTATTACACTTTTTTTTTCTTTTTTTTTGGTTTAGGAAAGCAGACCTTCCCATGGACTAGGGAATGATTTGAACGTATTACTTTCTACCAACGTCTCTCACTGTGTGTACCTCCGTGCTGCACACATGCAGTATGGAGCCAACTAGGACAGAAGTAACCCAATAATTGCCTAGATACATTTTCAAGGGGAAAAGAAATGCACATACATGTTTTAATAGGTATAATTCAAAAACCTCAACCAACTTCTCAAGTACTTACAACAGGAAATGGATGGCAAAGAAGGAGGAAGAGCTGAAACAGAACTTTCTTTCTCATGTCACCTGGAAACTGAATCAAGCCACAAAACCTAGAAAAGTAAGTATTACAACGATATATTTTATCATTGATCTAGCAAAGCACATAATATATCAAAAGAGGGTTTTTTTAAAAAAAAAAACTTCAATGTGATGTGTTAAATATAAAGGGTTAAAAATTAAAAATAGTTAAGAAACTTTAAATCACAAAATGAAGAGACTAGCATTTTTGTTTTACTGATAAAAGTAAGTATTACAACGATATATTTTATCATTGATCTAGCAAAGCACATAATATATCAAAAGAGGGTTTTTTTTAAAAAAAAAAACTTCAATGTGATGTGTTAAATATAAAGGGTTAAAAATTAAAAATAGTTAAGAAACTTTAAATCACAAAATGAAGAGACTAGCATTTTTGTTTTACTGATATTAAGCTGAGGAGACTGACTGCAATATCAAGCTTTGTATTATTCTATGGTACTGAAACACAGAGTCAACATATATGAATATGTTACAAATGTAAATATTGGGCAGTGCAATTCAAAGTCATAGATCTGATGGATGGAGGGTTTGGATTATGTAGTAGGATAGAAGCTCCCTTGGCAGGGGTGGCAAATCTGTTCTGGGAGCATAGATACAATGTGCCGGAAAAGACCTCAACAGCGCCAATTTCATGATTGAGGTTTGTTTGGATTCACTGTCTCCAAAACTCATTTCTAGTCCTTGATTTGACCCTTGACTAGAGAAGCATAATACAGGGTGGGTGTGGGTGGGAAGTTTCTTTATTCCCCCCCTGCCCCCCGCTGCCAAAACTTGGAAAAGCTGATTGTGATCAACTGAGAAATATTGACAAGCCAAATAAAAAGTGTTAGGGAATTCCTGGAAGGTTGCCATTCTGACAAGTTGACCATCGATAAGACAAAGAGAGCCAGTTTGGTGTAGTGGTTAGGGTGCTGGCCTCACAACTAGGAGACTGTGAGTTCCAGTCCCGCCTTTGGCATGAAAGCCTGCTGGGTGACCTTGGGCCAGTCACTCTCTCTCAGCCCAACCCACCTCACAGGGTTGTTGTTGTGGGGAAAATAGAAGGAAGAAGAAATATTAGGTATGTTCCCCGCCTTGTGTTATTTACTGAGAGAGAGAGAGAGAGAG